TTTATGGGCTCATGTACCTCTCTCATTCAGCCCTAATATATTATACTATAACAAATTTCTATATATGTTTCAATAAATGTTGATACCAGTGCCAGATTTTCTTCTGGTGTGAAATGACTTATTTTTTCCTGTCTGCTCTCTTTCATGTTAGGATAGTTTAGGATAGTTGCTAATGAAAAGAGCCAATTGGATTGAATCTTGCCATTTTTGTGACCAATATTCATTAGAAACTAGACAGACTGTAAATTGTCCAAGAGAATGATAGTGAAACAATAAACCAGAACTGACAGAAACAGATTAGTACTAAACAACTATTTTTTTCACCAACTCTCACTGTGGTCAGCCGTCTTTTTACTGACCTAAGACTTTCTGACCCGAAGGAATGACAGAAAGATGGAGGAGATATCAAATTATGAAAACATGATGGGTAATTATGGGCAGCTGGCATATTTTATTACCTTGCCAGTGGCATGGAGCGACAGAGTGGCAGAGGGTAATTGATCTTAATTACTGTGCCCAAATGAAGGTCATATCACCGACACAGAGAATGAGACTGGGGGACAGAGGAAAGACTGGCTGTATACAAATACACAGCTGAATATGATTGTCTCAGGGTCAGCAATACACACACCAGTGTTTAAAGAGAGAGTAATTGGCAGGAAGTGTCAGGAGGAATGAGGCTGTTTTTGCTGGAGTCTGAAACAGCCTGACACAAAAGAAAACCCATTTTTCCTGCCCTTTCGTCTTGCTTTAGAGGCCTACACACATAAAGGAAACAACCTAAAAAAGCACTCATGTCATTTGCATGCTTTAATAAACCATTCTGACAATACAGACTGCTTCAAAAGCAAAATACAAGCCAGATGATAATACAAATTCCAGTCACCTTAATGGAGGGCAACAGTGGGAGGTGTATTATTAGTAAAAAATACTGCAGCTGCCGTAACAAAAATGTATATTACAAATATAAACTTGTAGCGTCTGCTTAGGATCATTGAGGGTCATGGGGGCTTTATATCTTAGAGACTCCTTTTAGCCTTTTGACATTTGCATATAAATTACAGACCTGGCCCCATATTCTACAGTTATATGGGTGCTAAAGTGCCAATGGTCTTTCTCCCATTATCAAGAAGATGGTAAACAGATAAACTCTCTGGTCTCCCCATCGACTTCAAACACATTCCCAAGAGACGTAAATGACCCCCGGGGCCAGGCACCAATGGGCCTGGCTGACCAGCAAACTACAACATGCTCAAATAACACACATCCACACACACACATAAAGACATTTCTTTATTTAGACTATAATTAATCAGTTACAATTGTATCTGGTATTTGTATCTGATATATGCATGTGTTGTTTGTATGTTTCCCTATTGTATTAGTCTAGTTACAACTCTTTATTTGTATTAGTTAGACTCTCAATGCTTATATTCAGGTATATGCTTTATGCTTTAAGATCTTCTAGATGTTTCGTTCTTGGTATCAAAATGATCTGCTCTTTATTCCTCAAACAATGATCTACACTATGTGATCGTGAAATGCATCATACTATTTGTAGCATATTCTGGGTAAAACTGCACCAATCCTCCAGACCGGCCATAAACATGCAAATGGACCATAAAGGGAAACAAAGAAAACTTCTCCCACTCAAAAATTCACGCCTGGTATGGCTATTCCACCCAAAAGGTGGGTGTGGATAGGAACTATCAAAAGTCATTAGCTCAGACTAATCTTGGCTCAGAAA